ATAAACATAAAAATTTTTACTAGATTCTTGTGTACCGATATATTCAAGACTAACGCCATCATCCAAAACTGAAACATAAGGGGCCCGATCATGAGGATTCCAACGAGTAGGTAATGGTATAGTAGTTACTAATCTTTTGTTTAGCAAGGAAATCGGGCTATCTCGCAAGTAAGAAGGGATGAAATTTCGTGGTGGTGCCATTTTTTGTGTGTTGTTGAAGTTTTAAGTTTTTAAAAAATTCCATGCATTTATATATGTGATTGAATGTAACACGGGCTTGTGGAGCTAACTAAATTTATCACTCAATCGGCCGATTACAGTTTCTGCGCATTTATGTACCAAACGTACATGATTTTGGCAATCAGACTTTATTTTTGAATGCGGATAAAAATTTTTTTGGACATTGAAATTATTTATCTTGGGACCTTGGGTTTACACTGTTTCGAATTGTGAAACTCAACAACGACTCCAAAAAAATTTTCCACCTTAAGAATAATATCTCAAAAAAAAACAATGTTATTTAGCTTAAATGCAGAGCGAGGCATATTTGGCTTAAGTAATTGTTGATGTTACCAGGATTGGAATATGCTCTGCTTCACACGTGATTTTAATTAGCTAATCGTGCTTGAACCAAGTTCGACTTCAGTTTTTTTCTTGAATAAAAAGCCTCACGATTTGTAATTTTTTGAAACCAATCCCTTCTAGAAGGAACTCACTGAAAGCAATGACAGGCGATAGTACACCAAGTTTACTCGATAGATACCGGTTTGTCATTTTAGACACAATTCATTCTGATAAGTGAAATGAATTAATTAAAACGAAAGTTGGACTCTGGTGAGTAGTAACGGATTCTAGTTTGATAACGTCCCGGAGTTGCGGACTTACCGGTGATACAAGCCAAAAAAAGGAAATTACAGCAAATACAAAAAATTAAAGGTTCAGGGTTAGTATTAATCTTTAGGGCAAGTGACAATAGTTAAATGTGCAAAGCTTAATTAGTATATCAAAGGTGTTACAGTAAATAATCTTTCTTTTCTTCTGCACACTTCGGACTGATCCGGATAGTGTCTACCTTTTCTGTATATGGTTTGTATTACAAACTACGCCACTCTATATTATATGAGACAATGACAATAATGACAATATGCAGGCCCGTAGGATTCATAAAATTCAATAATAGCTAATTAGACAATGGCAATAGAATTTATTTGTTAGTCGGCTTAGCCGATTTTTTAAAAAATCGTCTTAGTCGGCTGAAAATCATTCGATAATCTGTAAAAGTCGATTCGATTGAGAGTGGAAACCTGAAAATAGATTTCATGATTTACTATGATTGGTTACGGCCGGGCTAAGCCCGGACATTTGGACCAGGGTAAAATCGCCACCCCAAAAAGTTTCGAAAATCGTGATATTGTCAATTCATCATG